TGCCGATCGACAGTGAGCTCGATAGTGAGATCGATAACGACCGAGATGTGGTGAGATCGGTAGTGAGATCGATAGTTGGATCGATAGTGAGGTCGATAGTGAGACCAGTAGTTGCATCGATCGTGCGAGCGGCGGTGAGATCGATAGTGAGATCGATAGTTGCATCGATAGTGCAATCGGTAGTGAGGTCGATAGTGCGATCGATTGCGAGATCGACAGCAAGATCGATAGTGGGATCGACAGTGGGATCGATTGTGAGCTGGATTGTGAGATCGATTGAGATTGCTTCCGAGACCGAATGTGAAATCGATAGTGAGATCGCTCGAGTGAGATCGATAGTAAAAGCGATCGTAAGATTGATAGTCATATCGATAGTGAGATCGACTGTGGGATCGATTTCGAGATCCGCTGAGTAAGATCGATAGTGACATCGATCATGAGATCGGTTGTGAGATCGATCAAGTGAGATCGATAGTGGCATCTCATCGCGGCGCAACGTCGTCATCACATGCAGTCGCCAACTCGAGGGCGCGCGACCAGCATCGTCATCATCACATCCATCGCAGTTGCCAGCAGTTCGTTCTGCCCCCTCCCCCCAGCCTCCTCATCACCCGAAGGGTGGTCGTATAGGTATGTACAGATCTCGTCGCCCGACGTCCCGCGCCCGGCGTCGTGAGCGGCGGGTCGCGCGTCCACGGCCCCCTCGGCGGGGCCGCGGCCGTGGCAGCAGCCCCCGCGCGAGCGACCTCGCAGCCCCGGAAGGGCGGCAGCGGCGGGGCGCTTCTGCCCGCGGGGCTGGCCTCCGCCGCCTTCGGTGGAAACTCACGGGAGCCGCCATGCCATCTTGCTGGCTCGACGCTGGCCGACGCTAGTCGACGCCGAATCAGCGCCAGCCCAGCGCCAATCGACACTAAATCGGCGCGCTTGCATCGACTATCCGACGCTGGCACGCGCTGGTGCACTCTAAAGGCGGAGCTACGAGGCCTCACAAACCGCCACCCGCACCCGAACGTATCGCATCGCATCGTATCGGCGCATCTGTGGCATCGACGACCGCATCGACGCACTAGCACCTTGCGGGGAACCCATCGTATCGACGATCCCTCGAGAAGGGTGCCGCATCCGATGGGCCCCCCCCAGGGGGGATGAGGACCGCAGCTCCCCCACTTGTGGCCCGTATGCCGCCCGCACCCGGTCCGCCGGGAGCGGCCGCGCGCCGGCCGCGGCCGCGCGCGTGGATGGCGCGGGCGACCTGGCTGGGGTCGTGCCGAGCGGCGGCGCGCGGCCCGCCCCCGCCCCGGCCATGGCCGCGCCCCCGGCCCTTCCGGCCGAGGAGCCGCGCGGCTGCGGCTGGGCACGGGGCGCGGCTGCAGGGGCCAGAGCAGACCTGGGATCCTGGCGTTGCAAGTGTGCCACATATCGGCGCTTTCGCCATGTTCCGGGCCCCGAGGCCATGACGGGTCGATCTGGCTCGACAGTTCGCAGCAGAAATATGGGGTCTGGGGCTCTGGTCTTGATTGTCGCGACGTTTTAAGTTGTCTTGGTATCCTCGACGAGCCCGAGAAAGGCGGTGCCATCGCAGTGAGAGGAGAAGGGTTGAATGAAGGTGTTCTCCTTTCATGGCGGCGGCGCCAGGGGCCCACTGCGCAGGGCCCCCCCCCGCCCTGGACACTGCCAGTGTCTGGGGGGGGCCCGCCTTTTCCCCAGCCCCTGCTCCGCCCCTATTTTACAACACCGCCCCCCCCCCCCCCCCCCTGCACGCCGCTCGCACCCGCGCAAAAGCCGAAGACACGCGGGAAGGTGGCTCAAGGGCCTCTGCCCAGCTCTTGGGGCCCCTGCAGACTCGACCCCCAATCCCACCAAGAGGGCCCTCGCCCACCGAGGTGGCCGCAAGGTTCCCAGAGAGGGAATGCAGGGTCGGAGGGGGCCCTCGGGCACGGAAAGTTGAGCCACCCCCAATTACCTCGGGCTGGATCCGCGCCCTGAAAGGTCGCGCGGGGCCCCGCGCGCCGCCGCCACCAACTCCAGCTCTGGCCGCGCGGCGCCGTCAACGACGTGCTGGGCGATGCTGTCACGCGGCGGCAGGCGCGTGCGCCCGCGGGCCCTCTGGCCGCACCGCCGGCGCCGCGCTCTCGGCGGCCGTCCTCTGCTCGGCGCTCGACTCGTAGAGCCCACGGGAGGCCTGCGCCATCCCGTCGAGCGCCGCGCTGCTTCAGGACTGCGGCCGCCCCGTAAACCCAAACGAATTAGTCGAAATCCGACGCTTGCGCGTTGCCGGTATCGCCCGCCTCATGGCAGCCCCCTCGCGCGGTAGCCTGTCGAGGCTCAGCGTCGTCTAGTGCCACCTCAACTACTCCAACAGATTCACGAGGAGGATCGTCAAAGGCCGCTCGGCCGACGTGGCCCTGCTCGCCGCGCAGGCGCCCCCCGGGTCGCCCGTCGACCCTGTCCTCTTGAGGTTCGCCCTGTCGGCGCCCCCGGGATGCGCGAACAGCTTCGCGCAGGGGATCGCGCCGGGGAGCTCGAGCGCCGCGGCGACCCCGCGCGGGTCGTTTGCCTCGGCCCGCTCCCAGGGAGGCCACGCGTTTCCCACCTCGAGCGCACGCCAGCAGGCCCCTCGCGCGCCGCCGCTCGGCGGCGCGCCCCCGCCGCCCATCCAGCGCCCCCTCCCGCTCGCACCCGAGCGCAAGTGTCCGGCGCTCCCGGCCCCGAACTAGATGGCCGACCCCAATCTCCGCCCATTCGCCGCCGGTCGCTTGCCGCCGGCGCGCGCCAGCGCGAGACTGGTCGCCCCTGGTGGGGGGGGGCACTTTCCCATTGCCCTGCCCTGCGAATGTGGCGAGCCAGGGCCAGCGCCGCGAAGCCGGGGCGCCCCTGGCCCGCCGCCGCGCGGCGTCGAGGGCGCGCGGCCCAAGGGCCGGCATCTGCGACCCGCCGCTATCCGAAAGCGGCGGGGCGCCTGAGCCCAAATGACCGCCGGCGTCGGGCATGGAAAGAAGGTGCACTTTCGCGCTGGCACGCCGGGGCGTCAATGAAAGTGGAACAGTGCCAGCCGTCGCGCTCCGCGCCCCGCGCTTCGCCGCCCCGCCACCGCGCCGCGACATTAAGCCAGGGCCAATGCGGTTTGATGTCGCCTTCCAACCAGCGCTCGCGCGCCCTGCGTCAGTTTTTTTGAGCATCGGCGAAGGGCCTGTCTGATGCGCCCCTCGTCGGACGGTTGTCCGCGAAGGCGTGCCCGGGCAATTGGGAGATCCAATCGCTCGGCGCGGGCGGGTTCTAGAATGGCTAATGATCCAATCAATGACTTCGACGGCCAATTCCCCCGCCCTGCGACCCGCCGTAGAATCTCTGGAAGTCACGGAGAAGACGGATGCGCCATGGGCAGTGCCGATGCGGCTACGCGGGATGCCTCAGGAGGAATTGTAGTCGATCGGGCCCGACTCGGCCTCAGCGGGGGGCAAGAACGCAAGATCCACGCGAATGGAGCCAGCACCGATCGCGCGGAGGCCATCACGGGCGAGCAGAGTGCCCGGATTGACCCGGCGATCCCTGGCGAAGCGACTGTCCATCGCCAGCAACGGCATTGGGGCCGAGATCGATCGCGGGCCCTGAGCCCGCGGCAGCGCCATCACCTGTTTCCTGCGCGGGCGACGCATGGGGACCTGCAGCATCCTCTGGAAGGAAGGGCGGGTCGACGAGGTCCTCGGACTCGCGCGAAGAAGCTCTGGGCCGAACCCGGGCCCCCCGGGTTCAGCCCCGCCGAGAAGATCGATCAGCAGGAATCCCGCGCTGCCCACGAAACGCCCGATGCGGAGCAAGGGCGGGCGTCGCGCAAACGCGGCATGATCTGCGAAGCCGAGGGCGCCCAGAAATCCAAGAGTCGGATGGGGGCTGTCCAAGCATGCCGTCTACGCATTGGCCCTCACCGTTTGGTGCAGGATTACGCCCAAGGGCTGCTTTCCCAAGGGCGAAGACTCTGCGAAGGTAGCAGCGGCCTGGATGACAAACTTGGTGGACATGCGCATCGCAAAAGCACCCTCCGACGCGTTGCCTCCCCTGCGACGGGCCGCCGCCCCCCCGTTCCTCGCGCGTCGCCCGGCGAGAGACGACGGGGGGCGGCGTCGCCGAGCGCGCCGGGCGGCCCGCCCAGTCCTCGACCGACCAAGAAGAACACGAGCCCACCCCCGCCCGCGTGCAAGCTCGACCCCGGGCAGGATAGACCTTTGGCGCGCGGGTCCACTGGGGCCGCGGGGGGGTCTAACCCAAGCGCGCAGGCGAGCGCAGGGGGGGCGCCCGCGGGCGCGCGCCAAGTCCCTCCAGCGAAGCGCGCAGCCGATCCCCGCCCCGCCCGCCTGCCGAAGACCAGCCCTAATCTGCATCGTCGACGCAGAAGATGGGCGCGCCGCAGCGCGGCCAGAAGCCCCCCGCCCCACTGCTCGGAGCCGAACGACGTAGAGCCTCAGACGCGGCCCCATTGCCCAGCGGCGTCTTCGACGCAGAGGCCGCGATCCGCGTGCCGTTGAAGCCAGTCGCAGGCGCATCGGCCGCAGACTTGGCGCTGCTTTCGCTGGGAACAGGGCGCGGTGGCATCGGAGGGGTCGTCAGACTAAACGAACCCTCGCGGGCGCATCCGCAGCAGCCTGGATGTCCCGGGCGCGGGGGGGCCGGCGCGGCCTTCGCCGGCGGCGGCGCTGGGGGGGGGCGGGCGCAATCGAAGCGGCCGCGTTTGGCACCGAGCGTGCAGGACGCGCGTCAGGTGCGCGGGGCCGGTCCACTTCGCCGCATCGCACTTGCCGGCAGACCCCGTCCGCGGGCGAAAGGCCGCGCCGGCGCAGCCGTGCGCCGCGCGGCCGCGCGGTCAATGAATGCGCGATGGCGTTCACCACGTCTTGAGCCCGAGCGGAAACGGAAGACGGGGCAACCGACCGCGCCGCGACGGCGCCCTGGCAGCCGAGCCAGAACTCACAGCCAGCGTTTGCGGCGACGCGCGCGCAGAGGATGACGGCGAACTGCCTCGCCGGGCAAACGGGGGCGCATCCTTCTCAATCCTACAAAATGCACGCACATAATGGAATGCCCCCGATCTGATCTGCCCTCTTGTCACGACCGCTGGCAACGACGCAATTGCGCGGGGCGCCGCTCTGCGCGCGGCGCGGGCGCAAGGGCCGAATAAACCCGAAGTCATATGCCCGAGGGGGCGCCCGGCTCGCGCGGAATGGGGCAGAACACCCGCCGGCGCGGCCGCATCCGCCAACGGCCCGCACAGCCGCGATCTTCCCCCGCTCAAAAAGCAGAGCGCTGCCCTGTGACTGGGGCGGTCGCGAAGGAAGCGGTGGGGCATAGACCAGAATGCGCGATTTTCGGCGGCGCGCAGTTGGCCGCAACGCCAAAGAAAACGCGGCCGAAAATCGCAAAGGCCCTGGCAAGGACCGGGCCCCGCGCGCCTGCAAACGATCGGCGCGGCCTCCTCAGAAGGGGCGCCCTCGCTCAAGCCGCGCCTGAGCAATGCGGCGCGAACGCCGAGGGCACGGTTCTCGAAGACACTTCTGATAGACTTTGGCATTAGCATGATTGCCATCAGGATCCCGATCGAGAAAAGTGAGCGCCCAGCGGCCAACGCAAACTCGCGAGGCGCAAGGCTGTTGCGACGTCCTGGTCACTGGCCACTGCTGCCCCTGCTAGCCTAGTTCCACGGTGTCGGAAACAGCCATGGATGCCATACTCCGATTGATCAATTTTCTGCTCCGATGACTCGGGCACATCGAGCGGAGTCGACGGCGCGGGCGGAGCCATGGACATCGCGTCGTTGGACAGGCGCTGGCCTCCGGTCCAATGCCAGCCGATCCAGCGCCCATTGGCGCAGCCGAGGCCACTGCCCACGGAGCCGACGGAGGGGGCGGGCGGGGGGCGCGGCGAGCGCCTGATCTCTCGCAATCACTGAAAGCCCGGATGCGAAGGCAACCTGCGTCTCGAGATCCCACCCTGGATCATCAGTACACTGGCATAGAAACCCTGCACAGCACTTCGCGGCAAACGGGCGCAGCACTTCACATTTTCGCGCGCTGCATATCAGGGGCGACGCGCGCGGCGCGGCGCGCAGGCACGGCGAGGCACGGCAGCAACTTTTGGCGTTCTGGGTTTAGGCGCGACGCGCGCGGCACGGCGCGCAGGCGCGGCATGGCGCGGCACGCGGGCGAAAGCATGTCGCGCGTCGGGTTTTCGCCGCGACGCGCGCGGCACAGCGCGCGAGCGCGGCGCGGCGCGGCGGCAACTTCTCCGCATTCTTGGTTTTAAGCACGTCGTTCACGTCAAGGCGCGCGGGCGCGGCGCAGCACGGCACGCCGCGGCAACTTCTTCGCATCCTGAAATTTCGGCACGAAGCGCGCGGCACGGCACGAAGGCGCGGAGCAGCGCAGCGCGGCTCGCGGGCGGAAGAGGTTCCGCATCCTGGGTTCTCAATACGACGCGCGCGGCGCGGCCCGCGGGCGCGGCGCGGCGCGGCGCGCCGCGGCCGTTTCGCATATCTGGTTTTAGGCGCGACGCCCACGGCCTGGCGCGCGGGCGAGGCGCGGCGAGGCGCGCCGCGGCAGATGCTCCGCATTCTGAATTTTCGGCGCGACGCGCGACGCGCGGCGCGCGGGCGCGGCCAAGCGCGGCGCGGCGCGCGGGCGGATGTCGTTTTCTCGGACTGCGGCTTCTAGGCGCGACGTACGCGACAAGGCGCGTAGGCGCAGCGCGGCGCGGCCTCGACGACGCCGCATCGCGGGCTTGAGGCACGGCGCGCACGGCGAGGCACGCGGGCACGGCACGTTGCAGCTGCGCCCCGTTAAATCGCGGGGCCAGGCAGGGCGCGCCGCGCGCCGCGCCGCGCGCGGGCGACAACTGCCTCGCTCGTGCACAGCAATAAATGCACGCGAAGCTCCCCCCATGTTCGGGACATAACACGGCGCGGCGCAGTGCGCGGGCGCGGCGCCGCGCGGAACAGCTACTTTCCTGCGCTCTCGAAACCAAGCGTGACGCGCCGCGGCACGCGGGCATGGCGCGACCACTTTCTCGCGCCCCTGGAACCCTGCAGGGGGCGGCGCGGCGCGCGGCGCGGCGGGTCAACTTCTTCGCGGGCGCGGCGCGGCAGGGCGCGGCGCGCCTGCACGGCGCGGCAAGGCGCGGCGCACTAGTGCCAACGCTTTCGCATTCCGGGTTTCATGACCGCCCGCGCGATTAACGACACCCCCGCGGCATTCGCTGCTCGAGAAGACAATTGCACCGCCGAACAGACTGCAGCGCGGGCCGGGGTGGCCCGGGCATGACGGGCGGCACTTGTCAAGGCTGGCCGCGAACGCTGCGAGGTTCCATATGCGTTTGCTGGCAGCCACATCCTGCCACTGGGCGCCCGCGGCAGCAGCGGCCTGCGATGGCGGATACGGGGTCGGCGCAGAAGCCTCGGCCAGGGCGCGACAGAATACCAGGGCAGGCGACGCGAGCTCATTCCAAGGACCCCCGCAGACGCGCCGAGCCTATCAGCGACTGCGGGGGCGACAGCACTTGGCCGCCCCACGCTAGCCGAAGCCGCCGAGACGTCGGAGCGCGGGGCCCAGGCCCCTTGCGCCCCGAGCTCGCCGAAGCAGCGCTCACGCCGCGCACGGCGCGGGCAGTCTCGCGGGCCTCTCTGACGCACAACGCGTCGGGGCCGCGGTTCCGCGCCCGCGTTGCACCTGCGCGCTCGCCCACGACTGCCGGCTTACAGCCTCCATGGGCGCGGCGCCGGAATGCTACATCAGCTGTTTGAGGTTTGAGGCTGGCTTGCAGGTGCCTCGGGGGCGCCTCTGCGACGGGGCGGCCGCCGGCGGGCGTCGTGACCGGGCGACGGGAAGATCGGGGACCAATCGGGGCGCAGCGCGCGCGCGCGGCAATGCGGAAACAACGGCGCTCGAACGACGGGGCACGCGATTTTCGGAATTGCGCGGGTGATCTCGACGCAGTTTCAGGCAGTCTCGTCGAAGTGCAATCCATCGCCCCCAGATAAATCCTGACACTTCCAAGGAAAACCGTCCGCCCACTGCGCCAACCTGAAGACGGCAACGCCGCGGGATGCCACTTGAATGCGCGCGCTTCCGCGCTGCGGTCGACGCCGCCCCCGGCGCCCCCTGGCGGGCGCTGCCCGGCCCGACGGCCGCCGCCAACATTGCGCCGCGTCCTGATAGCGCATGAAATCGCGACTCATCTCGGACAGGAAGCTCCGGGGCGCATTCCCAGACCCAGTGCAGCCTGTCCTTGCGGTTCGAGAAGAGCGCGGTGGAAGGCCCGCACTGGCTCGGAGCGCGGGGAACCAAATCGTTTCCAGGCCGCCAGATGGCGGCCTCTAGGCCGCGCTCGAAGGGGGCCCGCTGGGCAACCGCGGGAAGCGCGCACCGCGGCTCCCAGAGCTGGCAGAAGGGCGGCGGGACGCCTCGATCAACGCGAGAAGAAAACCGCGCTCAGTCGAATGATCTGCCTGCCACCACTCGCGGTCGTTGCTGACCTCGCGACCGCGTTCGAGCTCAGCGGCGCGGGGGAAGGGGCCGCCGCCCCCCCCCGCTGCGCGCGCAAGAAGCACAAATGCATGCCGAAAATCAAACGAGCAACGCGCGAGTGGAACAAATAAGATTCACACGAGCAAGCGCACCCCGTGATCTCACCACGCAGGCGCGGCGCAACGTCGCCGAGAGCGGCGACCGGCGCGCCAGCGCACCTGTCGGCGCAAAGCAGAACGTTGATCGCATAGGCGCGGGCACCTGGGCCCGATATTCGTAGGCGTCAGTTCCAAAGATCCAAGTCTGGGGCGGCGTCGGGCATGCCCACAGCGCCTATCGCAGAGGATTTGTCCGCGAAAGGAGCAGTTGAGGGAGCCGCGCGGCCATCGGCCCCAAACGCAGGCTGGACAGAGCGCAAGACAGTTCCGCGCGAGGTTAGCACGCTCATCCTGCCTAGCGAGGACGGCGCGCATCCTGCCCCCTGGCCCCCGGCAGCGGCGTTCGCGCGCCAGAGACACCCCAGCCCCCAGCCATCGTCGCCAGGAGCGGGGCCCCAGGGACGCGACTGCTGAAGCCTGGCGCCCCCCCCCACCCGCCCCGCCATCCCCCCCCCGCCGCCCGCGGCGGCTCCGGGGCGGCCCCGAGACCGAGGCGGCACTCGGGGGCCCCCTGGGGGTCGGCATCTTCGCGCCCCCAACAACATGGCAATGGGGGCGGGGGGGGGGCGGGGGGGGGCGGATTCGCCCCTTCGCGGCGGGAGGAGCAGCAGTTGCATGCCGCGGCGCAGGGCGCGGGCCCACCTGGACAGATGAACAGGGGCGACTGCCGGAGGACTGCGCGGGCGGCGCGAGGGGCGGAGGTCGCCGCCTGCGAACGCGCAGCCCCGCCCGCGCGCGTCGGGCACGCAGTCGGGAACGGCGTCGGCAAGGCCGTTCGGGCAGGCCACCGGGCGGGGCGTCGGAGCGCTGGCCGCCCGCCGCCTCGTAGGAAGGGCCAGGCGTCAGTCGGCATCCAGGTATATCCATCCTTTGGCTCGTCGAGGTGCGCGTGGGCGTGCCCTTGGAACCACCCTCTCGCCGAACTAACGGACATCTGGATCCCCCCTCATGGTGATGGCATTGGTGGTTAATCGCGCGTGGGACTCTGTGCTTCGCGCGGGGATGTCCCCGCGTTTTTCTCGTTCGCTTGGCCAACCAGTCGGATCTTTCTCTGGCCGCGCACTGCTTTCGCCACTGCCGGGGATTGCAGGGCGCATCGGCAGTTCTGCCCAAAACGACTCTAGTAGACATTTGAAATCTCCTGCGCCAGCCAGCACACACGGCGACTCGCCAACGTTAAACCCAAACCTCTCGCGCGCCCGTGCCCCCCAGGCAGCCGACGGCGGCGCCCGACTTTCCCCCCGCTTGCGCCGGCCTCGCGCTGCCAATGGCGCGCACCCACCTTCGCCGCATTTGCCCGCGCCGCCTCCTCGCGGGAAGCCCCGCCCACCTCGACGGGCGCGGTCTTCGCCGCCCCCCTTGGCGCGCCATTGGCGGCCCCCCCCGCCGCAACTCTCACCGTCGTAACTGTTTTGCCTTCGCCACCTCTCGTGGCACAGTCCCCGGCAAAATCGCGGTGACTTTCGCGTCTGTATCGCTGCGGGCCTCTTCTGGGCCCCTTGCCTTTGTTGGCGACATCCAAGCTGCCCCCCTAGGCCGCGGCCTCCCCGCCCCACTCGGCTTCGCTGTTCCACCAGCATCCCCGGTCGTCGCAGCGCGCTCCATCGCCCCAATCTTGTTGCCAATACTGGTTGTCGTCAACTTGTCCGACTACCTTGGCACCGCTGTGATCCGCGCCCGCGTCGGACCTCTGTTTCCAAGCCCAGTCATCGCACTCCGTGGTCAACGAGTCCGGCATCTTGCACAATCCTGCTGCAATTCATCGACCCAGTCACCCGAACGGAACATAACGACCATAAGAACCGCCTTCTTGAAGGGCAACCGAAGCGAATGCTCGGATCCGAGCATCTTCCAAGTTTCGACATGGGCGCTCCAGTTTTCCGGCTGGGTTGCAACATAAACATATTGGGTTGTCTGGGTTCGTAACCAATTTCGCGTTAACTCCGGTAAATATCGAAGACCACTTGTACAATTTTGTGGCATACCAGTAGCCCTTCACATTCGTACCGTCTCTGTATGTTGTTTCTGGGCTCGACTCTTATGAAATTAGCGTTAAGGGCATCTTGGTGGCGAATTTCCTTAACGCATTCGGTGATACAGGGAGCGATGCATCTCTGCATGCTTTCGCGATTCGCCTGTAACACAGTTCCAATATAGCTGTAGCCTTCACCCGAGCACGCTGCTAATCATAACTCGTGGAGCCTGTCGGGGCCAAGTCCTCACTATGTCGCGCGCCCTGAATGAACTTTGAGTTGAGCTGGGCGATCATTGACTCCCGAAGCTGCCGTTTGTCCTGGGATTGCGACGAGAAGCACGCTCCAGGGCACCATGCGAATTTAACCGAAGTCATGTACTCGGGACAATCACGACGAAATGTGCACATGTTGCACTCGCCGACTGACTGCCGGCGACTTTCAGCACTTGAGCCAAGAAGCAGTGGAACTCCCCGGTCAGTGCAGGGCCTTCATGATAATTCCTCCTCCCCCTCCTCCTCGTCCTTCTCCCCCTCCTCCCCCCAACCAGGGTTCACCGAAAGTCGAGCCTCCTTTTGCTCGCCTTTCTTCTCCTCCTCCTCCTCCTCCTCCTCTTCCTCCTCCTCCCCCTCCCCTACCTCCTCCTCCTCCTCCATCATCATCATCATCATCATCATCATCATCATCATCATCATCATCATCATCATCATCATCATCATCATCATCATCATCATCATCATCATCATCATCATCATCATCATCATCATCATCATCATCATCATCATCATCATCATCATCATCATCATCATGGCCCTCGTCCTCTGCATCATCATAACCAATATTGCTCCGCATCCTCCGCCTCATTCGACAGGGCCGCGCAGGCACATGTAATTCACTCCTGGGTCTGTTCAGGCGAATCCGCCGACCCCTTGTGGGTCTCCAGGCGTGTGCAATAGCTCCTCCCTTAATGCCCCCCCTCCCTGTCTGCGCGGCGTCTTCAGCGTAGTGCACACCCCTGGCAACGATGCCCTCTGGCATCTTTCCGCAGACTTCCGAGTTCCGAGTTCCGAGTTCCCCCCCCCCCCTTTCCCCGGAACCCCACACCGGAAATTACCCCCCCACACACACATGCCACAAGAGCACGCAGAAGAGGGCCTCAAGAGGCAAAAACAGGAAATCTTACATCCCCACAAACAAAACGTATAGATTCAGCATTTTCGTCTCTTGGACTTCTACATCTCCCAAAACGGCTGAAGAGGCCCCGAAGATCGCCGTAAGACGGCCCTCGAGGTCCCCAACAGGATTCCAAAACGGCTCGAGAGGGCCCCGAGACGGCCCAAGAGGCGTCCAAGATAGCCCAAGCGAGCCCCAAGAGAGCCAGAAGATGGGCCCAAGTTGCAGAACTCGAACAAAGATTTCGAGCCCTCCGCTCCAAGAGGCCCCTGACATCGTCAGCAAGTCCCCAAGAAGACACCAAGAGGACACGAGAGGCCCAGAAGAAACCTCAAAGGCTCTAAAACAACCCCATGAGGCTTCAAACGGCTTCAAACCTGCCTCCAAGAGGCTCCCCAGAGGCTTCCCAAGAGACGCCAACAAGCATTCAAGAGACCTCTGACCCACAACCCAGGCACGGTGGCGGGACATCTCATATTGACCCCTCGCCCTGCAGGATATCCTCCAGACCTCGACCCACACAGAAGTAGCGAAATCATTTGATAGGGTCGGAGGGCGTAGCGCAAGCCTGTAGAATCTACAGCTGCGGTTTGACTGCTTCCCCGTCTTTGTTCCACTGCATGTTCCTGCGCTTCCCCAATCAAGGCTGCTGCCCTGGACCATCGTGTCGGGATGGGCTGGCGGGGATATTTTTTATTGTTTTACAGCCGCAGGCGGAGGCGCCGACGGCGAGCGGTCACGGTCGGGCTGCGGCCGCGACTAACTAGCGGGCGCGCGCGGAGCCGCGGATCAGGCGGCGAGCGGCGGCAACCCAAGGCGTCTGAGAGGCCAGCAAGCGTGCAATCCCAGGGAGTCTGCAAAGACAGCCCGAGAGGAAACGTGCAAACGGCAAACCCAGGGAGTCTGAGAGATCAGCCACCGAAGGGAGCCAGCGCAGCCAACATGGCGCGTGGGCGTTCCCGCCGTGATCGTAACAAGACGACAGTAAGGTAGGGAACGATCTCCAGGCAGGAAAGTCAGTCCAGGGAGTCTGACGGGTATGAGCAGACAGAGCTGGTGACGCGGTCCTGCAGGAAAGTACTCTGACAGCGCCAGCGAACCGTCGCAGCATCAGAACGGGCATCCGAAAGGCTGGCGGGGATACGCGAAGAGTCAAGAATCAATGAATCGTGCGTTAGTCGGTATGTGTGTTGGCACTGCTCTGTGCATGAGATTTGGACTCAGTACGAGGATGCAGGGGCCAACATTTGCGTTCGCGTATAGGCCAAGTCGTATGCACGCTCAGAAAATAATACCAAAACTTGCGTTGCAGGTTTACTGATGTGCTTGCGCCCAGGCAATGCTACGTAATTCTAACAGTGTTTCGCCATGCTGGATTTCCAACTTGCTTCAGATGTTGCCATATCCTCTTTCCAGCACGCACAAGATCTTTCTGCGTGCGGCTCCCGTGATCTGTCAGACTTCGCCGGTAAAGATCACATGAGGGCGCAACGACTGAAACGTTTCTGACAGTCGCTGCGTCTAGGCAAAAACAAAATTAAGTTAACGACACACTGGGGATGCTAACTTCAAAGAGGGTGGCGGAGAAGGAGGAGGTCCACTAGAAACATCAGGGAGCGACACGTGCACCTAAGGGGCCTGGAGCCCTGTGCACCTGCTCCAGCCCGACATGCAATTTTCAGCCGCACACCTGCCACACTCGTCGTTGTCTCCTCTTAAGCATGGCCACGCGCAGTGCAACATAGAGCAGCTGGCCAACTCCCCGAAACACCGCGCACAGGGCGCGGAGTAATTCTCCTCGCGCCGGATGCAGCTGGCCACGCAAGGGGGGCCCGCCGCGCACAGTCGCGCGCACTTCCCCATCTCGGCGTCGAAGTGGCCGCTGCCTCCTGCCCGCCACACGCCGTCGTCGGCCTCGTCGCACGCGGGGGGCGACGACGAGGTAGTCGCGGTCGCTGTCGAGGAGCCTGTCGCTGTCGACGCAGCAGGGGCCCTTGCCGCTGGCGTGGCCGCAGCTGCTGCTGGCAGCGGGGCGGCCAGCACCAGCTGCTCCCCCTCACCGCGGGCTGCCAGAGGCGATGCTGGCCTAAGGTGCCCCCAGCATCTCGCGCTACCCTCGAGCCCCATGGGACCCTCTGGGTCTGGTGAGGGGCACCCTGGAGGACGTCTGCGGGAAGGGAACAAAGTACCGATACCGCCACTCCGCGGACCTCTCCCAGGGTGCATCCTCACCAAAACTTCGAAGAGAACCCAGCCGCAGCGACGAGGACTCTGCAGGACGAGCAGAGGGATGGATGGGCACCCCTTCCCCCTCCGAACCTGGGAATCCCTGGAAATGCTGGGGCCACCATGGGCCAGGGGACACCCCTGGCGACGTCCGACCTCGGCTCCCGCGCGCGCGAGCGCCGGCGCTCGCGCCGGCGGCGACGCCGCGGTGCCGCCGCGAGGCGCACCCGCGATGCCCGCGCCGAGGGCCACAACCGCCGCCGAGGCCGCAGCGGCCACGAGCAGTGCGCGCCGCTGGGCGCAACCACAGCAGCGGCCTCTGCTGCTCGGGCGCGGGGCGCCATGCAGCAGGCAGTCCTGCGAGTCGTCCGACGCCGACGAGACTCCCTCGTTCCCGTGCCCGGCGGGCTCGCCCGCGGCATCGCGCCAGCGCATCCCAGGGGGGGGAAGCGCTGCGGGAAAAAAATGGGGATGGTGGTGATGATGAGGCTGATGGTGATGATAATGATGATGATGATGATGATGATGATGATGATGATGATGATGATGATGATGATGATGATGATGATGATGATGATGATGATGATGAAGAGGAGGAGGAGGGGAAGAAAGGGAATCGCAAGCCGCTGAGGAGAAACAAACGAGAGTGATTATGTAGTCAGACACAGACCCTGGGGGAGGCCCTTCGGAAAGGATTCGTTTGCAACACGGAGCGGCCTTGACGGTCCGCCCAGTGGGCCCGCGACAATGCCCCCTTAAGACAAAAAGTTGCCGCCCTCGTCGTCTCCGAAATCGCGGGCCTTCCGCTCTCGAAGCTCGGCACCACGCTGATGTTCAGATTTGAACTGCTGGGAAGCCTCCAAGATGCCATCCCGAACGTTGACCATGGCCTCACGTGGATCCTCGGGGATCGTGCCTACGGGGGCGACCCTCTCCTCGACCTCAGACTCGAAGCTGGGGCACTTGGAGATCCATGTCGGAACCTTGGGAGGGCCTCCTGAAGATGGTTGGAGAGAGAGAGAGAGAGAGAGAGAGAGAGATTGAGAGAGAGAGAGATTGAGAGAGAGAGAGAGAGAGAGCGAGAGCAAGAGAGAGAGAGAGAGAGAGCGAAAAAAACAAAAAACGGGCACACGATGAGACAGCTCCTTCATACGGGCGGGGATCCCAAGGGTGCGCGAGGACCAGGCGCAGGTCGCTGCGGTCCCCAGGAGGAAAACTCTCCTCGCCCCCGTGCCCCTGGCGGGGCCGCGGGGCCGCCCTGGCCGCGCGGAGCCTCGAGGCGGCGCGCGGCGCGCACGCTGCGCCGGGCAATGCCGGGGCGGAGGGGGAGGAGGAAAAGAGGGGCGAGGGGGAGGGGGGGGGGAGGGAAAGGGCGAGGGGGAGGGAAAGGGCTGAGGGGGAGGGGGAGGATCGAATATTCCTCGGGGGGCTCCTTCGTCCACTTGAACCGTCGGCGTCCCGCCCGATTTTGAAGGGGCCCTGGGACACATAAACAAGTGGCACGTGTGCCATGGCCCCTGCACAAAAAGGAAAGGGGAGGAGGAGGAGGAGGATGAGGAGGGGGGAAGAGGGGGCAAGACATCGCCCCTCGGGGCCCAGCAACGAAGCCCAAATCCCAGGTCGGGAGAGGGGGGGGAGGTGGCGTGCGTCGCGACGCGGAATAAAGTGCTCGGAACGGAGGGGGCACGGGGCGGGGGTCCCACTGGGGCGCTGGGGGCGCGGAGAGGAGGGGGTGGAGGTGGTGTCCGTTGCGACGCGGAATAACATGGTCGGGGCGGAGGGGGCATTGGGCGGGGCTTCGGGCAGAGGGCCACGGGGCGGGGGTCCAACTGGGGCGCTGGGGACGGGGGGGAGGTGGTGTGCGTCGCGGCGCGGAATAGAACTGTCGGGGCGGAGGGGGCACAGGGCGGAGCCCCCACTGGGGCGCTGGGGACGCGGGGGGGGAGTTGGGGGAGGTGGTGTGCGTCGCGACGCGGGATAAAACGTTCGTGGCGGAGGGGGCAGTTGGCGGGGTTCCCGCTGGGGCGCTGGGGACGCGGGGGGGCTCGGGGCAGAGAGCCACGGCGCGGGGGTCCCACCCTGGCGCTGGGGACGCGGGGGGAGGGGGGGGGTGCGACGCGGAATAAAGCGTTTGTGGCGGAAGGGGCAGTGGGCGGGGCCCCTGCTGGGGCGCTGGGGGCGCGGGGGGGCTCGGCGCAGAGAGCCACGGCTTGGGGGTCCCACTCTGGCGCTGGGGACGCGGGGCGGAGGGGGATGTGCGACGAGGAATACGTTCGTGGACGAGGGGGCGGTGGGCGGGGCTCCCGATGGGGCGCTGGAGCGGGGGAGCTCGGGGCACAGAGTCACGGCGCGGGGGCCAGAGTGGGGCTGGGGACACGGGGAGGGAGGGGTGAGCGACGCGGAATAAAGTGGTCGGAGCTCTAGACACCCTGTGCAAGAGGATAAATACACACAAATAAAAGGATGCCCCATAGTTTCTCTTATTTTCGGGGTGTGTGCGTTCCCCCCACTTCCCATATTTTCCCGTATTTTCTGGGGAATCGACGATTAATTGTGTATGTGTGTTTCTGTCCCTCCTGACCTTCGTCCGTTTTCACCGTGGCCGCCCGCCCGATTTCCTCGAATCGTAGAAATCATAGCGTGCCTGCTCTCATGGCTGCTTGCTGGGATGGGTCCGAAGGCGCTGCGCTCAAGTGATTTTCACATAGTTTCAGCTTCTGTTGGTGGTACATGTGGCTGGCAGGCATCACTTGTTTAGTTGCTCCTTCGGTTTGGAGGCTCTGGCGATTCGCCCGATCGAAGACAGGGGCTTTCGTGTTTGCTCGGTTAGCGCATGTCGGTGTCGAGTGCAGGATGTTACGGAAACCTTTTTTTCAGCTGCATTGTGTCAATCCGCTTGATGGTTGCTTGCGCGAACTGTGCTGTGGCCGGTCCGTACAAGAGCTTAGACCGAATTGTTGTGTCTAAGGCGAGAGTTTTGAAGCAGGTTGGACAATCTCTGTGCAACCTGAAAGTATTGAACTTTGTTCATCGCAGCGAGTAACTGACAGATGCGGGCATTGACATATTTGGTGCTGTCGCTCGTGTTATTAATCATGCATCCCAAATACTTGACTTCCACCTTAACTCTAACGGGACCCCCGCTCGCGAAATTGATGCTAGGTGTAAATCCGATCCAGGCGGGAAAGCGGAACCACATACTTGCGTTGCCTTCTCCAGCCCGCAACACGGCGAGTGAACGAGGCCTGGTCGACCACCGCAACAGTAGGGAAGAGATGGCCGAACTCTGTCGACGTCGACTGGTTGGGCGAAACAATGTGCCTATCATGATGGCGACTCCCTTCGCCACCTGCAAACAAGTCAAAGTCACTGCGGATGAACTGAGCGCGACAAGCAGATGGAACCAGGGCTCTGCGAACCCGGCGAAGCTGAGCTTGCTTAGCGACAGGCTGGTGAGAAGGCTCGATGTGCGCATTTTCGATGTGCATGAGATTTGCACAGATGTGCAGGATAAGACTGCGCGCGCCCACGCTCGATAAGTTTGCGACTAGCATGAGTAAGCTGTCCTTCGCAGCGAGGACGGACGGAAAGAATGCACCCCCAGAGAAAGTATAATCCAGGAAAGAGCATGCACCGAACGCCTGGTTCACTTCTTTGCAGCAACATGCCCGGCGTGCTTCCGACCCACCAGCCTCGTGGATGCAAACAATGCCACGTCTGGAACAAAGCGAGATCAGCTGGTCAATGTTTTGCCTATGAAGCCTGAGGGGCAAAGGTGGCATCGAAGATGGCCTGGCAGTCCACGAGACGATGGATAAGGCGCGGGCGGGCGGGAACGGCGCGAAAGAACTCGGGCTCGTCCGAGGACGCATCACTTGAAGAAGAAGAGGAAGCAGCTCGGGAACGTCCGACGAGCCTCCGTCAAAAGAGAAGCTGGGTAATGCGCGAGACTAGCGGCACGCGGCGCCATTGCCATCGCGCACGACGAGGCCGACTCTATTCGAGGAAGAGGAGGAGGCCACTATGCGAGGTTGGGTATCTTCGCGCCCCGGCATGGCCCCAGGGGAAAGTAGGGCCGCGTCGACGTCGAAAGGAAAAGACGCCATCCCATCGCGCTCCGCCCGGGAACAAGACAGAGCATACTGGGACCGCGCGGAAGACCGTCAGCGCGGAGGGAGCGACGCAGACAGCGCGTCGACGGCTTCCCTGGCGACGCTAAACTCCGCCAAGCTCTCGTAGTGCAGCGGCACATCGAAACTGCTGAGCTCTAGCTCCTTTGCTTGGAATACATGGTGCACTCGCCATGCTCGACTAGGAATAGGGCGCCGTTGAAGCCCTGCGAGCGTAGCTTCCTGAACGCTCTCCAGATAGACCGTTCCTTCTCGTGGGTCTGCACCCTGGACCAGACCACGACCAGCGCCTTGCGTCTCCTGCGGTCGCTGGCTGGGGCGCCCATCCTGGCGCGCAACTCGACGACGGCGTTCGACTTCGGGTCGTGCACCGACAGGCCATTGGACGTTAAGTGCAGCGTCGACGAAGCCGCCAGCGCGCGCTTCGTCGTCGAAGTCGACGCAGAGAAACTGATTCATGCTGCGAGCCTTCACCGAGATCTCCGCGCCTTGGGGAACGAGGGCCATTGGCTTTACCTGGTCGGCAACGATGCCATCGCCATGGCGAAGAGCGGCCTGGGGAAGCTGAATACGAACGCGCGATTCGGGTTAGAATCCTGTCTGTAGGAATGAACTTCGCATAGTGTTCGGCCGAGAGATGGGGGGGTGGAGCGGTCTTGACCTGGTCAGGCTGGGACTGGATGGCATCAAACTTCTCGTCCATCACCGTAGAGATGGCATCGCGCCGTCTGCCATTGTCTGGAGATCCCAGTGCAGTCATCGGCTGATTGAAAATTGCCAAGCGCGCGTCGTGCTCCTAGATGGTGGTCTTCACGTCACAGATCTTGGTGCGCATGGGGGACTCGAGGTCATTGAGCTTGTTGGCTTCTTCCGAAGGTCGCACGTTAGTGCAGACATCCTCCCTGGAGTCTCTTCTGGCGCACTGTGGAGATCGAGCGTTCCTGGCCCTGGTGCCCCTACTTGGCGACCGAGAAGAAGAAGACTGTCGATGCGATGTGTTTTTCGCCACAAGCGGTCGCGCCCCACTGCGGGGAAGTCAAAACAAACACACACACACACACACACACACACACACACACACACACACACACACACACACACACACACACACACACACACACACACACACACACACACACACACTCCGCCCTAGCGTCGGGAAGGCTTGCAGCAGAAAGCGGCGTCGGGGAGGGGGGTAGGTGGACGTGGCAGCCGTAATTTCAACGCTGCTACCCAACAGGTGCCCCCTCCTCATCCATCGCGCACTTCGCCCGCCAACGCGGCGGGCGGGCGCGCGCAAAAAAG